TAATCAATATTAAATAAAGCTATAGTCGACTCTAGATACAAGACGTAGCGCGAGGAAGCAAAAGGAAGGTAGCTTCCTCGCGTTCAGGGGAACCCATATACACCATGTGGGTCCCGCGCAGATCATATCTCCATATGCTTCATGTATATCCTTGACAATGGGATCAAAAGCTCCTAGGAATGCTTTGAGCTTCCCAGACTCAGTTTAACAAGCACAAGAGGTTGTCAGTCTCTCGCCAGCCAGCGAGTTGCGTTTTTCTGCCGACAAGCTCCGCCCTGGCTCCACCGAGATGAATCCGTGTCTCCTTGGTCACCGTTTAGGTATGATGAAAGAAGAAACTCAATGAACCAGCACTTTTAGCGCTAAGTCATTTTCGAAATCAAGCGAAGCAGCCAGTAGCTTTTGGCTAAGGTCTAATGGTGTCCAGCACTTGCAAAGATGAAACGGCCGCGTTGTACTTTTGAACGATCAGGATTTCATTTCTTGCTAAGCTTGCTCCAAAGATTTCACCGCTATGACCTCTGTTGCTGACCACAGTGCTGAGTATCTAATCACGTTCTATCACGTGTGAGTGGCGGTCGCTTTTCCTATTTTCCATCTTACCACGCCTGTAACCTGTGATCACCCACGCTGAGTGGAATTGAGTCGTGCCGACCGGCGAAGCGGTGTAGAGGTGGACGGGTCTCGCGGGAGATGGCGATAGGCTGCTCCTACAACGGCATGAAGATGTCAGTGGTGTTCGTGTCTAGGGCACACACTTGGCACAAAATCAAAACCGGCGCAGCAGGAGGCGCGATATTCCACTCACCTCATCGTGGACAACGAACGTCTGGAGCTTATGCGTCCTGTTGGTGGCCAACGACCTTAATTTGCAGTACTTCACATAGGATATGCTGCATGGTTTGAAGTGACAGGGCCAGAAATGGTGTGTAGGCCATGACTTTGCGCGGAGCACTCACGGAATACTGGTTCGGACTCTGGTGCGCTGTCAACGATTTCTTGTCCATCATTGGCTTGTAGATCGGGGAGGTACTCCATTACTCACATGTTCTGGAGGTCAATACTAGAGAAGAAGACACGGAAATGGGCTCCGAGGTTTTTGCGCTGGTGTATATTGGACGGAATGCACGGATTTCTGTTTCGCATCGTCTTTGAAGTTAGTCCAGTTTCGGAAATGGTCGCGCTGAAATCTACATACCTGGTATGGAAATCGCTCTTTTGCATCGATATATTCAGGGGCGGGACAGTGGTGGGCTGCTATGGTGGACAGATGTTCGCATAGATACTTTGACCAGCTAACCCAAATCTTGTTATTAGATCGGCTGGCATGGGTAGCAAAGTGGACCTGGTGGTAGTCACGTCTCACAAGCACTTTCTAGCTTGTCGGTCCACAACGTAATTACAGTATAGATGTCAGTACAGTGGAAATCCAGTAGGTCAAAGGGAAGAACTTATCAGGTGCCTCAAACCGAAGGCCTCGACTCTGCATAGCCAAGTGATAGTATTGGAGAACAAATTGCTGGGAGCAGAGGACGTATTTATAGGCTTCTCGGCTCCTGTCGCGTACGTGCTCTATTAGGGAGCAAACGTTGAAGGACACGACGCCTATCCCAAGTGAGGCCTGTTGCGACCCATGCCTTCGTTCTACCGCAACTATTTGCAGCGGAATTCTGGTGTCATTTTAGATGCCCAGCGAGAAAAATGTGCTAGAGTCATGTTGAAAATGAGTCAA